CAATAATAGCTATTATATACTTACTTTTGATTTTAGTTTACCAATTCTTCATTTATATTGGATTTATATAACCCATTTAAAATTTTTATATAAATTAAAGTAAAACTGATATAAAAAATCAGTCCTATATTTGCTCGTTATAATCGTATTAATATATACAATGGATTTTCCAAGTTGCGATACTACACAAAGAGGTACAATTATTCAAAATTTCCTCTCAGTTTCTTTTCTTTATCTTCTTTGACATTACACAAAGAGGCACAATTATTCAAAATTTCCTCTCAGTTTCTTTTCATTATCTTCTTTGTATTATGTTATAGTATTATATTGCATTTCATATATTATATTATAGCTGTCTTTGTCAGCACTTCTTTGTTTTGTTTAGATATGCACAAAAGCGCACTGTTCTTCTTGTTTGTCTCTTTTTACTTTGAACTTTAAATGTTGATCTGCTATCTCTGTCAGCTGTTTGAGAGTTTTAATAGAATAAATAGAGGAAAAAGAAAACAAAAATCCGAAAGAGCCCGCGCTATTTTTAAATTAATAATGCACTTTTCATGTTTGGAATCGTGTTTTATTGAAAATTGTTTTCTTTTCTGTGTTTTTATAATAATAATAATAAGGTTGATCTTATAAAAATACTTATTACAAATACGTAATTTCAGGACTGTAAATTTTAACTTTGAAAACGTGTCCACTCACTAGAAATATATCACAGAAAAAAAAAATATATAAATGATACATTAAATCATTTGTACATATACATTTTATATAACAATTACAAATGCAATAAATGAAAGCAAAGATTTTATTAAATAATTACTTTCCCTGCGCGATGGTTAACATCTCAGCTGTTGTTTGTTTACATTTCACAAATGAAGCATAAGACAAATATTTCAGGTTTTGATAATTTCCCTTGTGGGAAATCCATTTTTAAGTATTGCATTTGACATATTTCACATTAAATGAGCTGATTTATTGATAATGAGCTCATTTATATGAAAGTAATTTCTACGGTAAAACGTCTTTATCAGTAGCTATAATGAGCAAAACCACATACATTAGACGATTTGAAAGTGCTATAACCATCTGAGAGATGAAAAACCGTCAGTGGAAATTTCGACACAAATTCGAGTTATCTGACAAGAATGGTTTGTAAAAAAAAATTTTAAACAAAGTTTCTCAAATTTAAAATTGTGCAAAATATATACATTAAAAATATAGAAAAGTATAAGAATTCATGAAAAATGAATTATTAATGAGCACATTTCATTTATTAACTTGTTTGATGCTAATATAGCATTGACATTGGCCTTAAATTACTGGTTGACATTAGGTCTTTTCCACGAACTATTTGTAGTAACTTTGAGTGACACTGTATATACACAAGTGCGTTCCTCCTGCAAATTTTAGAATAAATGAGACCATCTGAGAGAGCGTAACATTTGCAGCAGTTCTTTAGGAGACAAATGTCGCTAAGCACTAGTACACGAAGTAGTCCAAAGAAATTAGTGAAATAAGTGGTCCGTAGGGATAAGTAAAATTTCTACGTAGAATATATAAATCTATATATTTTCAATTTATAAATTTATATATTTCAATACTTTTTTCGTACACAATTTAATATTGCATTCTATTATATTTAAACATGAGAGAACAAAAAACAAATGAGAAATAAAGAAATTCAACGACATATTAGAGTCATTTATTTTGGAACTAATGCCTATCCTGACCCCTAATAATGCAATGATTCACCAGTTCAAACAAAAATCCAATACTTATGCTTGTTGTGTATAAACAAATTGAGATCAATATGTTTCGTTCTCTTGTTTTTAATATTATGCCTCTTCCACAATAGAGCTTTGATTTGCGATAGAGCGAATATGTAAAACCATACAACAATATGCTTAGTGGACTGTGAACCTATGAATGAAGAAGATCAAGTAATGTTAACAGATATCGATTTTAAATATGTTGATCTTACTTTCGATAGACATCGCCTTTACTGCTTATTTATTGCAAATAATTTTAAAAATATAATACAAAAATTTGTTAGAAACAAAAGTACAAAAATTAAGTGTTCTTCGATCTAAGGTTTATTTGGAACAGAAAGTTATTTTACATAACAGCCACTATTCTTTTTAAGAGATGGTACATTCACAATAATGCTGAAAATGTTTAATTTGTTTTACTTTAACAAAATTTGTGAAATAACATTATATAATAATATCTAGAATTAATAACAGAACGATATATATAAGTCATTAAAACACGCTGCGATAAATACGAGTGAATGTGTCCAAACTCCATTTAAGTGTCAAATTCAGTTAAAATAAAAGCGTAAAAATCAACATTCTTTTTTCATTAAAGACAAAGTTGCAACATCATCTATAGATCATCAGTTAAGTCCCTAGACGACCTACAACACAATCAGCTTGAAAGTGATTTATTATTATAAATATATTTAATATATATATATATACACATATATTAAACTAATTATACATGTAATTATTCAAACAACAAAACGCAATATTTCTTGATATTTTTATTAAACTTCAAGCTTTTATAAAATAAAGATAAATAAATAAAATGTAGTCATTATGAATTTATGTTTTACCTTAACTTTGCAAACTTATCAAACTTATTAAACTTTTATTTTTCTTCTTCTCTCCTTTTATATCTTTCTTTTCTTCTTAACTAGCTTTCATTTCAATCTTTGCTCTCATATCAATCTGTGCTTTTATTTCACTGCCTTATCTCCCCTACCAGGTAGGTAGGTAGGTAGGTAGGTAGGTAGGTCCCCTACCACACTACTTTATCTATATATATATAATAATATATAAAATGCACGTTTTATTTATTATTTCCCAAATCAAGAACTAGTTAATACATTACTGCTGCAGTGTACAGTGCGGGTACTATTTACACCATTCGACCCATTATGAACTAGTACAAAGACCAGTTCCGAGGTATATCATACGGGAACAATTCACACCGACAATGACAACTCAATGTGATATCCACCAGTTGAGCCCACGTAAAGTGGATTATGAAGCGACTAGTACAATGCACCTTGGAACTACTGAATTCACTAGTTCAGAACTAGTCACAGACCCTCCTGGGATTCATGTCAAAATTTGAAAAAGCTACACAGACTTTATGTTACTTATACATTTTATTTCAAGTAAAATTTGTGTTGATGTGTGTATCAGCTGTTTTGGTTTGAACTTAAATTTTTGTATGGTTTATTTGCGCGCCACTGGTGGTCTCGCCAAATTTTACTCGAAGCTGTTCAATGAAACTCTGTGTAAGGAACGTAATTTGGCACTTTATTTGTGTTACGCTCTTTGTTTGTACTTTACTTGTGTTTTACTTGAGTTTTACTACAAGTAGCTCGTGGAACAGACCTACGAACAGGGTAACAAAATAAAATAAAAAAAGAGACAGCAAATATGAATCACATATAATAAAATAAAATTTAAATTTAAATTTAATTATACACAATTAGAAATTAAATATTTGACAATAATATTTTCACATTAACCGCTTTAATTGCGTGTTGCATTGGTTGCAAAAAATTTAAAATGCTTTATTGTAGTCTTAAAAATGAGTAGATATTAATGTTGTGTGGTTATAGAATATTTTGCATTCACGAAATTCAAAATATGTTCATTATCATTATTCAATTACAATTTTAAATAAATGTATGTATGTACCTGAAAAAGTTAATTCTTGATATGTCTAATAAATTACTGTAAAATTACGTATTTTATTCACATAACTTATTACTATATAACAATTTGTAGTATTGTATCTTAAGTGGACAACCAAGAATAATCAGATATAACAGTACCGGAACGAGTGAAAGTCGGCAAGAAATCTCGCCAGATAAACAATTATATAAATTTAGATACATTAGAAACGTTTTTATTAAAAACCATTTTAGTAGATGTATTGATTTATTTAAATTATATACCACAATTTAAAGTATATATCCATAATATGTGTATTTATTTATTAATAGTTTAAAAGTACAGAGCATTCTATTAGAATTGTTATGTTGGAATTATTGTTATTAATAATAATAGTATTAGTTTCTTTGTATTTATATACATTTTTATATTCTACATTCTATGAATATGTATTTTATTGTATTTTATCTATATTTATATTGTTATATTATAAATAAATGCTTCATATATGTATTTTGGCTTAAAACTATACAAAAATTAACATTGAGAATTAAAATGTGTCAAAGGCCACTACTATTACACTACTAAAGTACTAAAGTACAAAAGTAGCACTACTAAAGTAGTGTAATACTCCATAACATAGGAATTTGAGTTGAAGTCTGATTATGATCCGTGAAAATTGTACAATTTGCGAGTTTTAATAATAAAAACTTATTACATTTGTTTTAACGTACCATGTTTCTAAATTAGTATTAACTCTCAATTGGTAAACTTAACATATGACGTATACATATCCGATTGGAAAGTCTGGATTCAATCAAGATTTACTCTAGATCTGTCAAATGTTGTTCAATCGAACATTTTTAAGGTATTCTAACATTTTTTTAAGTAGTGTTAGTAGACATTTTTATTTTTCATAAATACATATATCGATCACATCATACATTATTTGTCAAGTCACATTAAACAGCTGTTAATTTCGGGGTAATCGTGCTACTCTGGCAAAATATCTAGACTGTCATATTCGAGTTAATCTCGAGTGCTGCGCATTAATCTCGAGTGTTATGCAGATTAACTAATCAAAAATGAAAATTAAACCTTAAACCAAGAGTGAATCTCGATTAAAAAAGTAACACCAGATTTACCAATTGAAGCGCCATTACAATAAATTTTTTTATGATTTATATTTATTGAACACTATTAAAAAGCGTTCAAATATTTATAATACAGTATTAATTTCTATACATACGTACAAATAATATATAAATTTATTTGTGTTTTGTTTATGTTTCACATATTCATTTGTGTAAATAATGTCATTTGTGTAAACTTGATTCAGCAATGTGCACTTTCTTGTTTTTGCGTTTTCCATCACTGCATCACAGGTAAATGTCAACTATAGTTCAGCAATTTGCTGCAAAGCGTCAGGCAAAGACGCTTTATAAGAGGTGTGTAGGAACTCAATTTGCTGTAACATAGTTTATTATTTGAAGTGAAAGTATTAGAAAATATCACAAATAGGAATAAATTGCAATACTTTGTCGGTCGAAAGTTCGGTTCGAAAGTTAGCTGTCGTGTACGATCACGGACATAAAGTTTATAACAAAAGCACGGAATAAGGAGGCTTGGGCTGCAATAGCAGTTGAATTCCAAGAAACGGGTATGGATTTCTTATTAGTAATTAAGCAATAATTGTGGTTGGTTACTGGTCTTCAATACTATGCAATAAGTGTATGCGTTCATGAATAAAAAACCTTCAAAAAACAATATTTTACATGGATTGTTTGTTCAAGACAGGATGCTTTCTACAAAAATGGAAATGAAAAAACGCATCAGCAGTTGGTGGTTTTCAAGCCAACACCTTTGAAATTAAAGTTTATTTTTATTGTTTTTGAAATGCAAAAATCCTTTGATATAAGTGAAGAACATAAACATGAGGTAAATTAAAAATTAAATTGCATATTTATAAGTTTGTGAAACTATATTTGGAGATTGCTTGATCCCCGATTTAATTAGATTTAAAATTGCAAACTTTTCACATGACAATCACAAACACAAACACAAACACAATCTCAATCAAACAATAACTTGTGATAGCTAATTGATTATTTATATAGTTTATTAGTATACCTTCGATAATTAGTTGTGTTCACGCAGAATTAAAAAAAAACAAATTTACTTTGAGAAAATATTGACACAGTCAGCGTTTCAAAAGTTATACTTAAGACAAAATACATATTTTTCATAATGAGTTGATACTAATTTTTGTTTGATAATATCTGTCAATTTGCAGAGCATAGGAGTAAGAAGATTTAGAGTTACCTCTGTAACAATATTGGTCTTTCTTCCTTCAAGCAATTGAAGGCTTGCTTGTCTATTGTCTATATCATAATTTCTTTTAACAAATTCAATAAATGCACAATCGGATCCTTGTCTGATGATTGGATGAACGGTTTGCAGTTCTCAAAACATGTTCTGCGGCACCCACTCTTTCACGACCATTGTAGTATGTTTGGGGTGTTATTGGTAATAAATTAAGATCAAAATGTTAAGATCGTTCAGTATTTTCGTTCTGGTTTACTTCAAAAATTTTAAATAAACTTTCGTTTCCATAATTCTAACAACATAACAGGATGCCACCAATCACCTCCAGTAACAGCATACCGCCACCACCATGTTTATCTGTAGCAATTGTATTTGTTTTTATTTACTTAAATAGTTGGTTATCTTCACACGTGGATTTGACCATCTTGACAATCACTGCATTATATTAGAAAAAAAAACATGGAATTAACATGGAGCAGTGAGTTCTGGCTGAGTAATGTTATATACTTTTAACATTCTAATTTAATGTTTCTTACGGGAGTTGGGTGCATTCACATTCCACATATGTGCAATTAGGGCAGCTGCAATCTGAAATTTAAGTGAAACATGCGAATAATGGCAATTTCTATGAGAACTCGCCTAAAATTATGTAAAAACTTTAGAAAAACGTCTGAACTATAGTACTTCCTTCAGTGCTCTTGAGTATTTATATTGCAGGTCTTAAGTGGAAGACAGTTTCATATTAGCATGCTTTATGTTATTTATTTAATTGTCCTTTATTTAATATTAATAAAGTTCGTTTATTATACACTGGTCGATCCACGGTTGCGTTTTCATGTGCGTATAAATAAACTAATGCTTCACCTTAAACTTATGCATAACTATATCTCTAAGATGTTGTCCTGAACCCCTTTCGAACCAGCTCAGCTCGAATTTCAGTTACAACAAAGGTTTCCATTTAACATAAGGCTAACTATATTTGTAGTTTTGTTTTTTCATCTATGAATGTCGGACGTGGTGTTGCTGTCAGTTTGTTGAAAATCATCTTAAAGCAAAATTGATGCATCTCCGAATAGTGCATCATTTTCAGTTAAGTCTTTGAGTGTTCTATCTAATGGCGTTTGTATCTGTTGAATTTGGACTTAATCTAAATTTACTCTAAATTTGCCAAATTTTGTTGCCATATTGAACATTTTTAGGATAATCTGCAATTTTTGTGTTGTGTTCACCAATATATACATCAATTGAACTAAAATGTTTGCACCAACTTCTTTTTCTAAGTAGTTGTACACAACATTCACGACAATACGATTGCGACCATTTAATTATCGTTTTGCTGTCTTTCCGAAGCGTTTTGGAAAGTCTGAGTTAATCGACCTTTTGCATTCAATAAAATTTTTCAAATCTAACAATGGCCCTTTCTACAAACATTAACTTGCTGTTCTTCGTTTCCCCTCAAATAAATTGGCAAGAACTTTCTATTTTTATTTGACTTTGGAAGTAGGAGTATCTCAATGTCAATGATATAAATGCCATTGCATTTCGAAAGTACTGTTGAAATCGTGATTGTCATTATTTTGACAGATTTTTGTTGCAGAAAATGATGTCATCTGAAAGCCAGGATCAAATTTTCTTATATATCTTAAAAATAATATGTGAATTTATGGTCATTAACTATTTATGTTAATCTTCTGTAGTTGTTGGTGTTGTACAACCTTGCCATTGAAGGCAAGAAAAAGTCTCTTACGTTTATTTTATTAGGATGTATTCTTAAGGTGTTTCTCAATTCTTCCATGTTTCACTTACATTTCTTATTGGAGCTGTTCTAAGAGCAAATATATAATGTGACTACATACTTCAGTCTTCTTCCACAAAAAACTTTAAGTTTTTAGTTGTAAATATGAATTGGGTTGGATATTAACTCTGTGTACGTAAGGTTTTTTGCATAGCAGAGTGCCATGACCAACATACTTCATTTCGTTGGTAGTTCAAAAGAAGTTGTTTTTGATTTTGTGTAATAATTTTTCATAGAAAGTTTTTCTTTTCTGTTAGTTCCATTCGATCCACCAATTAATAATATTTCTCTCCATATTGGGCAGATTACTTTCGCACAGTAAGAAGGAGTTTGTCAAGCCATAACACTTTTAACACTTTTCCGATCCATTTAACAAAGCTCCTTTAAACTGATTTATCTTCCACTCAATTCCACTCATTTCTTCACGAACATGATTTTAAGTCAGCATTTTTTGATATATCTATTCTACTGTCACTCAGTCACTCAGAAATAAGGCTTATGCCAATATCGTATTCACTCACAAATGAAAGTTATACAGTGTTAAGTAAGTTTGTTAAATTAATTATTAAGTGAAATTAAAATAGTTTGTTTATGTACATATATTCCGGTTTACTTCAATTCTTTTCATGTTTTATTTTAATAAATGTTAAAAAGACTAAAAGACGTCAATTTCCTTTACAGATTTTAGTTTTATTTATATTATGTATTGAATTTCATTAATATTGTTATTTTCATTATTTCAGTCAATATTTGTAAAATTCGGTCGAAATCGAAACGTACGTCAACTCGTATAGGGAGAATTATTTAGCTGATCTTGTTGAATTATTAGTTCCTCATGCACAAACAAATAATGATATCGATTATATAGAACGATTTGATAATGAAGATGCCACAAAAAAAAAAAAAGATGCCAAGAAAACTGAAAATAATTGACGGGCCTTCATTTTTAAATGAAGATCATTCAAACACAAAAACTAATGCAGATCTTCAAGCTTTAGAATCTGAAGGCGAAGGAACACCACCGGCTAAGTTTGCAAAAGTTCAAACCGATACAAGCCTTGCAAAGCGAACACAATTACAATTAAATACACTTAAACCAATTATGTGTGAGAAATCTGTACAATTTGATACGAATAGATCGAAAGAAGACAAATATTTAGAAATATATAAACAATATATTAAGGCAATGAATAAACGACAGCGTATCGTGTTAATTCAAAATATTTTTAAAGCTATAGTTACGACTTTAGATGACTGTAGAGACTTCAATGACTCTGTAATTGAAAGTCCGCAAAGCAAAAAATATGAAGAGAACCGAACAGTTGAAAATAAATCGAATTCAGTACCCGTAATCGTTGTTCGAAAACCTATAGGACACAGTAGTCAACCAGAAACCAAACTCGGACCAGGAGCCAGACTCGCAACAAGAGTACCATATACAGTTTCGGGAAAAGTAAATGGTGTGTGTGGTCCCATATATCGAATTATCCCCAAGAATAATATGGTCAATAATGCAGCAGTTACAGCAAATGCTACTTCTATCGTTAATAGTTCAGTAAACTCTTCCAATCTGATTACTTTGCATGCTTCTAATACAAACATACGTACTATTAATTGTGCAGCATCAAGCTGTGTGGCTAAAACGTCTACAACCAGTGCAGCATCGAAGTTACTTTCTCAGAATGCAATTAGTCGGTGTCGAGTTAGTGCTGTTCCATCAGTTAGACTTGCTAACAGTCGTTTTAACAAATTCGTCCCCAGTGTTTCTGATAGAGTTTCGCAGTACTGGACCAAGGTCCAGACCCAGACCAGCAATACTATGCATAGTAAAACACTAACTACAGTGTCTGCAACAAATACGAATTTAAATGACTGTAAAGACTTTAATGACTCTGTAATTGAGAGTCCGCAAAGCAAAAAAGATGATGAGAAAACAGTTGAAAATAAATCGGATTCAGTACCTGTAATCGTTGTTCGAAAACCAAAAGAACATAGTACTGGGCCAGAAGCTAAACCTAGACCAGGATTCAGACTCGTACCAGGAGTGTCATACACTGTTTGGCAAAAAGTAAAGGGTGTGAATCGTCTAATTTTTCAAATTATCCCCAAGAATAATATAGTCAATAATGCAGCAGTTACAGCAAATGCTGCTTCTATAGTAAACAGTCCAGGAAACTCTTCCAATCTGATTGCTTTGCATGCTTCAAATACAACTGTCAATACTACTGCAAATATTACTGCATCTACTTTCGCTACAACTTCTAAGTCTTCGCCTTATTCATCTGTTGCTGTTATTGGTACTTTATCTATGGTTATTGCTACGCCTGCTATGGCACCAATTCAAAAATCTGCTCTACCAATTTGTACGGTACATGCAAATAATTCTAGAGCAATTAATAATTTCAGTCCTAGCCTCTTAAGACAAAATGCACCACAACCACCATCTGACAACAATGATTCTGACGACGAATTTGCTGGTATTATAAGAGCGGATAATTTCCTGTGGATAAAGGACGAACCACTTGACGATTATGATTTGTAATTCAGTTTTGAAAATATGGTTGTTTTGTTTTTTTTGATTTAATATTAAATTTATAAAATAATCGAATACTTAGTAATTATTAAAAATTTTTTCCTAATTTATTTATATATATAGAACTATAATTTATTTTTCAAAATTTTTATTTTAATTTACTTAACTAAATAATAATGTAAAAATTAGTGTATTAAATATGTTAAAATAAATTTGTTTAAAAAGTTTAAATAGAGAATTTGGCAAATGTAATACCTATTCGCCTGTTGAACAAAAACATCTCTTTTTGTATATATTTTAAGGTTTTGCCGGCCCATTGAATGATTTATTATTCAATTTATTTGAATTTGTTATAATTTATTAGGTATTTTTTATTTATGTATTGACTTATGTTAGTATGGATTAGTGTTGGTTATGACTTTTGTTCTTGGATAGCGGTGGATTCCGTGGTTCCGAGATATCAATATTTTGACTAATGTTGTGTTCTATTACTTTTACTTTTATTTTTATATTATGTTATTATTATCATTTGTATATTTATAATATTTGTATATATACTTATATTCATATCTATTTTTAAGTTTTTTAAGGATATCTTTTTTAAGATATTTTCAATACAATCGTATTTTTAAGACATATGAGAAGTGTTGTTTTAGTAACATTTCAATTTTCTACCACTCAGATGAGTCTGGGTGGTAAACAATTATTTGGCAGATTACTGCAATAAATTTAGAATTTATTTATATAATTTTAAAAAGTATAAATAGTACTTTTTTTTTAAATGAAGTTATTATATCTTTATTAAGAAGTTTATTATTAATTATTTGTGGTTTAGTGGGTATAGCTTTTTTGACTTTGTTGGAACGTAAAGTTTTAGGATATATTCAGATTCGTAAGGATCAAAATAAAGTTGGATTTATTGGAATAGTTCAACCTTTTAGTGATTATTTAGTAAGTTATTTAGTAGCGAACAAACTTATCCATTAATATCAAATTATATTTCTTAATATTATTCTCCTACTTTTTCATTGTTTTTATCTATATTAGTTTGAATGTGTATATGTTACCTATGTTGAGAAGATTATACAGATAGATTAATTATAGAAGATTATATAGATTTAATTGAAGTTTATTCTTTTTTTCGAGAATTACAATGATAGGGATATATACTGTAATAATTCCAGGGTGTTCTAGAAATTCTAATTATTTATTATTAGGAGGTTTACGGGCTGTTGCTTAAACTTTTTCTTATGAAGTAAGGTTAGCTTTAATTTGTTATCTTTCATTTTTTTAATCGAAGGATATAATATAACTAATTTTAAAAAATTTCAATATTATGTTTGATTTTTTGTATTTTT